GTTGGATTCCTAGTAGGTAGGCAGCCAGGCCTGGTAAGTGGCAGGGGGAGGAAACTGCCTGACTCGCCGAGCGGAGCAGGGCCCTTGTGGGTGCCCGGTGTCACAGGCCGTGTCTTGGGCACAGTAACCCCCTGCCCGTCCCTCTGCAGCTTCCAGGTGGTGAAGACGCTGCACAACAAGCTGTATGAGAGCCGGGGCAAGACGCGGTACGTGGCCCCTCTTGCACCTGTCATGGCTTCCGGCCAGAGGGGATGTTGGCATGGCAGGGAGGGTGCTGGTGCTGCCTGTCACTGGATCCAGGGCACAATGCGGGCTGTGCTCTGGCCTGGTTCCGGGGGGGGGTCCTAGAGCACCCCACAACAGTGCAGCCTACCAGAGCCCCTTGCTGCCAGCTCAGCACTTCACTGGCAGAGCTGGGTGGGTGCAGCCAGTGTCACCCCGTGGGCTCCCAGTGTGGGCTGGGCTGTCCGAGATGCTCTGCTGACAGTCTCCTCCTCTGCAGCATGCCCGTGGTGCTGGTCGGGAACAAGGCAGACTTGTCCCTGGAGAGGTAAGGAGCAATACTCGCATCCTGCCGGCCCTGGGTCCTGTTGCTTTTCCCTGCCGGGGCTCAGGCTGCTACCCAGGGTGGGGGGCTGCTCCCCTCACCAGCCCTTTGCCTTGCTCCCTGTTGCGTGTCCTCAGCCGGGAGGTGAAGACGGATGAGGGCAAGAAGCTAGCAGATTCCTGGGGCGCCATCTTCCTGGAGTCGTCTGCTAAGGAGAACCAGGTCTGGCACACGGCAGCTGTGGCTGGGGCAGAGGGAGCCTGGAGCACGTCCTTCGACTGGGCTTCGAAGCCTGCATGTGGGGCAGCTACAGACCCTGAGATGCTGTGGGGGGAAGGGAGGAGTGTGGAGAAGCTTGTGTGCTGTGAGGACTCTGCAGAGTGAGGGTCCTTGGACTTGTTCCAGCGCTGCCTGCAGCCCTTGCAGGGCTGGGGCCATCGTCCCAGGCACGGGCTGCTGGCAGGGGGTCACTCTGGCCCTCACCAGTTCATACAGCAAGACCCCCTTGTGCCCTGCAATGTGTCTGCTCTCCACCCCCAGGTGACGCAGGGCATCTTCACCAAGATCATCGAGGAGATTGACCGGGTGGACAACTCCTACGGCGAGGAGCGCAACTGCCACCTGATGTGAGCCCCTTGCCCCTGCTGCCAGGGGTGCATGCTGCTGCCCCTGCCGAAGATTTCCTTCTGCCCTGAGGGAGAAGAGCCATGGGCCGGTACTGCCGGCCTGGAGGAGCTACGGGTATCCGCACACACTGTACCTCACTGGACGGCCCCCGCCCCGGGTGGCCGTTTTGCACACGGCTGTTGGCAGCAACAATGGGTCCCCAGTTCGTGCCATGGGGCCTTGCTGCTGGGTCTATTTAAGTTGGGTTTGGTTTGGGGGTCTCTATTTATAGCTGGTGTCTGACCACGCACATGTGTGAGCATGGGGCTAGCGCCAGCTGGAGCCCAGTCTGGTCACGGTTCCCTGCTCCCCCAACGCACCCTTGGTGGCCTTAATTCTCCTGACGTGAATCAATTTGAAGCTCGGGCTGTGCCGGGGGCCAGGCTGTTTGGGCCGTGTCTTGTGAGAGGGTGGCGCTGTCGTGGGAGCCGGGGACGGCTCAATGGGAACAATTAAAGTTTGTTTTGTAAGCAAACCCTGTGCCCTCTGCCCAGTCTGTGGGCCAGACCCGGAGGAAGGGCTCAGGGCAGTGCAGCTGTGGGCATTGCCCTCTGTGGGTGCCAGTGCTGAGTTAAACGCCCTGGGGCTGGGGGAGGAAGATTGCATGGGTCCTGGGCCCACCTGTTGCAGGGATGACCCACGTGCAAGGAGCCTCGCTGCCTGGATGTCATCACTGGGGGGCAAGGGTGACGCGGGCAGGAGCTCCCTTGCATGTTGGCGAGCTGGTCCTCATCTGCTGCTTCAGAGATGAGTTGTTCAGGCTCCCAAATGTGCTAGGAAGGGACCCCAGGACCCCTGGCTCCCTGAGCTCATCTCTAGAGCTGGGTGCAGAACCCCAGCATCCTGGCGGCATTCCTGTGCTATGGGGGCAACAGCACGGGGCTGGGGTAGGGGTGGTCTTGGCCATGGGTGCCAGCCAGGGCTACCAGCTGGTGCTGGAGGTGCCACAGGCATCACCCCATAGCTGACTGGGGATGCCTGGGTCGCAGTGCTAGATGAGAGGCCAATTACTCCTAATCACCTCAATTATATCGTTAGCAAAGAGGCAGTAACATTGAGACGCTGCCATCCAAGGTGCTGGCATGGAGTGAATGCAAATAGATGGGATCTTGGGGCTGGGGGAGGGGACCTGGCAGCTGGCACCAGGGAGAGCCCTGCTTTGCCCTTGCAGTGGCTGGTCTGCCCCTTGCAGGTGAAGGGCTTGGGCCTCCTGCCCTGACCCCAGAGCTCCAGCTCAGCACTAGCTGCAGCCTCACGGGGCCAGCGGCTGCTCTTGAAGGTGCCTGTGTGAACGGGGCAGGACAGGAAGCGCTGGAGGAAGCCTCGCTCCCAGCCTGGCCCTGAGTGGTCCCTGCTTCCACCCCCAAAGGCCCCAGGTCCTGGGGGTGCTGCCCATGTGCTGCCCTCCAGTGGCTGAACTGGGGAGGGCAGGGATGCAGGATGGGGGCGGTCCTGTGCTGAGTGATGCAGCCCTGGCCCCAAGGGGCCCATGGGTGCAGGGGGTCTGGGTAGCTCCCCCCACTGTGGGCAAAGGAAAGGCCTTGCTTCTATGATGGTGATGTTAGGCCTGGCCTCGGGGTAGTCGAGGGCTCCGTCATTTGTGTGCACATGAACAAACCCGGAGCCAGGGGGATGCAGAGAGCCTCACCTCCTGGGCCTTGCAGAAGGGGACTGGCCCACAAGCCCCACTGAGCCGGTGTGGGGGGAGCTGGAGAGGACCCGTGGCTGGGCTGCAGCAGGCAGGTCACCCCTGGTGTGTGGTCCTAAGTCCTGGAAGAGAAACTGAGGCACCAAGGGGTGGAAGAAGCCACTGGGGGCCATGGGCTGAGCTGAGGGCAGCAGGCGACAGTGCTACAGGCCCTGCACTGAGGGGCTGGGAGAGGGACAGACCCATCGCCTGGTAGTGGGGCTGCAGCTGCCACCAGCACCGGTTCCCTTTGGGTCAGGGCCTGGCTGGCAGCCTGCCCGGCACCGCCATCCCAGGCCCGGCGCAGCGCACGCGGCAGATGGAGGCTCTGCTAATCCCCCCGCAGAGCCCGGGAGAGCCAAGGGCGAGGGAAGTGCTAAGCTGGGGGCTGTCCCTGGGTCCAGCCTTGCCTTTCCCAGCATCCTTCTGCCCTCACTGGGGCTGCAGCCATGACGGCCTGTCTGCCTGTGCCCCCTCCAGGCTCCAAGCACAGCGGGGGTGTGTGTGTGTGTGTGTGTGTGTTGGGGGGGCCGCATTTAGCTTTCACTCGGGTCTCCCAGTCAGGGCTGTGGAGGGAGCTGTGAAAACAGGGCTGGGGCAGTGGTCCTGCCTGAGTTTGCAGAGAGCCTGCACCCGGAGCCGTGGGCACAGGTACAAGCCTCCCTTGTGCCAGGGGGGCAGAGGGA